CACACACACACACACACACACACACACACACACACACACACACACACGTTAATCTGCAGCTTGTTTCAGTGGAGCTTTGTTAAATGTTCTGAAGGCCTCCTGAGGGTTCCACTCAGATGTGAGAACAAACTGTTTTTCTTCTGGTTCCCACCACTGCCAGTTATTGATAAAAAACTGAATCCAGTCAAACAGATTCTGCTAAGTTGAATCAGATTTACAGATTGTGTTTTTGTTATCTCTGAAGATAACTACATGTTTACCTGCTCTTGTTGTGTAAACAGGTATTCCACCAACATCACAGACCACAGCTACATCATCACCTTCTTTGTCACCTGCTTCATTTTGCCGCTCGGAGTGATTTTCTTCTGTTACGGGAAGCTCCTGAGGAAGCTCCGAAAGGTCAGCTCAGTCTGAAACCATCCTCCAACATCTGGATGTGAGCTCAGCGTAATGCTCCTCCTGACTCGGTCTGATCCAGATGTTTAACAGAAACTGTTCCTAACAGGTGTCTCACGGCCGCCTTGCGACAGCCAGGAAGCCCGAGCGGCAGGTGACCCGTATGGTGGTGGTGATGATCGTGGCCTTCATGGTGGGCTGGACGCCATACGCAGCCTTCTCCATACTGGTCACAGCTCATCCAACCGTCCAACTGGACCCCCGGCTGGCCGCCATTCCTGCTTTTTTCTCCAAGACGGCTGCTGTCTACAACCCAATCATTTACGTCTTCATGAACAAACAGGTGACAAACAGAGGACGGACCAGATGTGAGCTCGTTCAGACAGCAGGGCTGTTGGATGCAGCCGTCAATATTTACATGAGCTAGAGACCGGCGCAGGAGATGCACTGATTCAGCCAAAACAGCAGTTAGCAGAAACATTTAGCCTTAAACAGCTAGTGGAGGGAATGTTAGCTTTAAACAATAGTTAGCGAGCAGAGTTAGCTTTAAACGGTAGTTAGTGAGCGGTGTTAGCTTTAAACGGTAGTTAGCGAGCAGAGTTAGCTTTAAACGGTAGTTAGTGAGCGGTGTTAGCTTTAAACGGTAGTTAGTGAGCAGCGTTAGCTTGAAATCTTCGTCATCAGCTGGTTTATCTGAAGCGCAGGGTTTGATCCAGTCTCTGTTGTTACACAACACGTTTCAGGGGTTTCTGTGATGCACGACTAATAAAATCTGTAGATTTAGTGAGAGAAGTGCCTGCAGGGGTCTCAYAGGTCAGAAGTCTTTTAACATAATATAAAGTATTTATGTATCACTTCCTGTTTCCTTTAATCTGTCAGTGTCACTTTCTCAGAGATCTGTAGGTGTTCAGTAATAATTTAAAAAAGGTGGAGCTGTTACATTTCACTGCTCTTCAGGATCAGTTTATGAACATGAATACAGGTGCTGGTCATAAAATTAGAATATCATGAAAAAGTAGATTTATTTCAGTAATTCCATTTAAAAAGTGAAACTTG